ACACACACAGAACCGACACCCGTTTCAGTAATTCAGATCCAGTAACACTAACAGAACTCTCAGTTGGAGATGTATAAACAAACTTAGGGGTCTATACGTGCAGCCAGCTTATGTTAAAACTAACCACCCCACACCAGCTCGGGCGGGTTGCTGAGAGTGCCTGCCTGCTTTGATGTCCCATTAACTGATCCAAGCATTTGAAGCCATCGGTTTAGACTGATCACTCACTGAGGTACTCAACTGGATTTCTAGGCTCCTGCTGACACAGGCTGCAACTTGGTACACAGTTCTTAACAGAACTGCTTCTTCACACTTAATATTATCATTGTCACAGTCAGCAGAACCTTACAAAATCACAGTACTCCTTTACAAACAAATCTTTACTCAATAACACCACAACCAACTAACGACTAATCTTAACATCATGTTAGGTGGATGCACAGTTTAAGTGACAAATTAGACATACAACAACAAAGACTTTATAACCTCCAGTAGTAATCTCATTGCTATTTTTCCTGAGAAAGAACATTTTTACTGCAAATTTAGCACATTACTTCCTACCCCTACTGGAGAAATTCCAAATATTTGAAGACTAACACATTTATCAATAAAAAGTAAAGTGTTACATCCACAAATCTGTTCTCAGTTTTGCTGGTGAAGATGAGGACTCTGCAAAGACAACTGCTGCTCTACACTCTTAAATAACTGTTGATTATATCTAAAGCGAGATCACTCGCAAGCTCCAAGGTGGGTTCCTCTGCAGGTCTCCAAATACTTTTAATTTGCAAATTCACTATAAGCCATAAACAGCGAAACTAAAAGAGAAGGCTAAAAAGGCTAGAAAAAACCCACCATACCAAAACAACTAAATTACTCAAGAAATCATATTAAAAAAAAAATATCCCATTTTTCTTTTCCTTTGCCTATTTGTCCTTTTACACAAAGAAATTCAACTAACACCTAATGAATGACGCAAACAAAGCTAATCCACAAACCTTTTTATGAATGGGGTTAGAAACTGACAGCAGCTCAATATTGACTCGAACATTTAATCTCCTGTGAACAAAAAGATGCAACTTAGTAACAAATCAGGAAAATATTCTCCAAATAACACGTGTTCCTAGCCACTTTACACAAATCAGATGACATTTTGAACACAAAAATTTAAGCAGAAAAACTGAGAAAGTTCCCATTGATGGCTACTACTAAGACACCTGAAAGCCCCACAGTTCAGTTACCATTACAGCTCCTCACTCAGCCTGGGTTTTCTTGTTGCTTGTTATCCACCACACTTTAAACAGTGAGGCAGGAGGTTTTGAAACTCTGTCCAGGAAGAAGAACCTTTGGAAAAGCCTGCTGAAAATTATTAACGATCGCTGAAACTTTTGACAATCGTTTATACAGTGCTACCTTGTCTTCATTTACTTCTTGCTGACTGATCCGAGAAGTTACCCGCGTTACAAAACGCACCCACAGACACCAGCCTTCCTGTGCAAGGGCAGCCCTAACGCCTGCACGCACTGCCTAACCCAGACGGGACCCCTATCACCGTATTTTGAGCAGACACTCCACATAAATCATTCCCGGGCTTTCCCAAACACCAGTGCTAAGCCACGCACACACGCACGGGTCCCCCCAAACGGACTTATCCCTCGGCAGATACCGATGGGGCGGACGCGTGGGCTCGCCCACGCCACAGGGGCAGTAACGGGGGAGCCGAAAGGCTCCAGGAGGCCGCGGTAAGGCCGGCTTCAGGCGGCGAGGAGGAGGAGGAGGAGGAGG